TATATATATATATATATGGCTCATGTTTGAATTCCGCTTTACACATTAAAATCCCATTTAGTGGTCAGGCTGGTCGATTGGGTTCATGTCAAACCGTCGAGTTCATTCGGCAAACCGGTCCGGGCCTTTTTAAGTTGGCGGGTTGGGTTCCCTATCAAGTCAATAAGCCAAAATTAGTCACCGGGCCTGAGTATGCTTGGCCAACATGTCCCGTGTGCTAGTCCAACAGAGTGCGCTCTTGTGCTAGCAGACCTAGTTGTTGTGGGAATAATAGTATTCATCATTTTTTAAAATGAAAGACATGTTAGATTAACATCCTTTATCGAGAATTTTTTTGTTAAATATTATGTATGGAAACAATCCATTTGTTGTGGGATAACTTGATTCTGAAAATTAAAAAAAAAAATTATTTGATGAAAAATGTGTAGCAATTCTCTAATTCTGTCGAAATAATCCCAATTTTCAAAAAATGACAACCAAACATAATTAAGATCACGTATACCTTATTTAGGACCAAAAAAAACAATCTTATAATAAGCAGACTCCAAGATTTTATTAGTGAGGGTTAAACGCATTTGAACATCAATGCATAATAACTTTAAAATAGATAAACTAACTTGTATTGCAGTCTCTCTAAATTTATGTTAGTCACAAGGAGAATGCTTCATAAACAATATTGAGACTCTCACCTTCTTAACTCTCTCATGAATCTCATTCAAACCATCTCGTACCATTAAAATAAGACTATATGTCGTACAAAAAAATATGAAAAAAATCACTCATAATTAGAACACCCGACTTTCTTGTAAACAATCATTTCAAATTTCTAGTAACATTATCATTTGACATTGCATCATCCAAGTGATAGTACTTATTTTATTATGTAAGCTTCATTATATGAAACTTTAACAAGGCCACTATGACAAGGATCTAAATTATTAAAGCTAATGATTCTCAGATGGACCTTCCAATAAGACAATTATAATGTATAATAACAAATGGAGCCAACTATTTGGCCTGAAGTTTCAACTGTTACCAGTAAGAGAAACTCTCTCAACCATTTTGAAATTTAACAGTAACATAATAACAATGGCATTGAAAAAAAATGTGAAAGGGTCATGTAAGCATTTTTTTAAGGAATTTAAACAGTTCATCTTATTTTAAAATGGGGCTACTCTATTGATTAAAATTTCCTGTTTAATCCATTCATTATGAATACATAAATTTTCATAAATAAGATATGTTATGCATGACATTTGCTTAGCCATAGAATTAGGAAATAAAAGCCCCACATAAACACATTACATATGTCAGTTTGCTAATAATAAGGAAAAGATGGACAAAGTCAAATAATTTTTACCCTGTTTGGAGAAGATTTCTTGGTTTGTATTTAAGTATGTCTATAGCATTAAATTTTTAAGAGAAATTTTGATAAAAAAAATGAAAATTGACATGTATTTGTAATACCCAAGGGACTATTTACTATTATTTTGCTTTTTTTTTTATTTCTATTTTCTTATTTTTATTTTTTATTTTTATTTTTATTTGAAATAAAATAAATTTGAAATGTTTGATTGAGATATCATTGATTTTAAAAATGCTCAAATCACCTGAAAGTTACTTTGAGTGTTTTCAAAATATATTAATTTTTTTTTAGAAATTAAAAAAAAAGTATAAAAAACACATTAATAATCATATTAAAAAAAGAAAATTTTAAGAATAAAATTTATCTGAAATAAGAATTAAGTTTAAGATTTTCGTGAATAGGGAACATGTTAAATGCCATCTATTAAGTTCTTGAATAAATTATTTAAGAAAATTCTTTGATGGTCTTTTTTTTTTTAGAATGTAATTATTATTTTTTAACTAGTTTCTGTAACAACTCAAACTCTCAACCGTCGAGATGTAATCCATTTTGATCTAGTAGCCTAATAGGTGTTAATTTTTAGGAGGTCTCCTATTCTGAGAGTGCTTATACTTTCAATTACATTAAAATGAACCTCAATGTTTAAGAGTTTAGCTTTATTATACTTAAGGGGTTTCTCAATATTCCCCAATTAAGTAATTGGCTTGTAGTTGTAGATCCCCGCATTATCTACACTACTCAGATCGAGAATACGTTCATATATTCTCTTTTTGTCGATGTGTCCAGGAATGTCTTCCAAACCTTAAAACCTTCTGTCTTAGGTGGGATGTAAGTTCTTATGCTTTTCTGTTGAGCATAAACACTTTCAAATCGTAAAACCCACAGCTAACTTAAGTCCACCCAAGCGAACCAATTTAAAATTGAACTACCCTAAATCAACCCAAGTCTAATCCAAGACTATAATTAAGTCGTTTTATGCATGTTTCATTGTTTTATGTAAGTTTTATCATATTTTGCCTTGTTATGCATGTTTTGTTACGTCTTTCATATTTAAAAACAAACAAAAAATAAAAATAAAAAAAAATAAAAAATAAAAAAATAATAAAAATGGAAGCCCCCCTAGGTGGTTCCCTTCTCAAACAAAAATTTTAACATAACAAACCTTCAAACTTAGAATACCATGATAATCCAACACGACTAACAAGATCTAGGAATTAAAACAAATTATTAACTGAATATTGAATACTAAGATAAATAACTGAAACATAACCTAGGCAGATCTGACATGAACCAAAGGTAAGCTAACGTAACACCATAACTCATGGTCATACATTTACCTTAGGTTAGTCTGAGTATATAAGCCTATGTCAGTTTATGTACCTAGCTAGAAATAAGGACTAGGACATATTAAAAAGCTAAACCTACCCCTTAAGACTAAAAAGAATATCTTAAAAGAATGTAACCCATAGTTACAGACGAAAGCATTTTAAAACTTCTCAAGATAATGAATCCCTTGAGCTATGACATTTAAGAGGGATTTCTGGTTAAGAGGCTGGTTATAGTTGACGGAAACTAGTTTTCTCGAGACCATGGAAAGTCATGAGCAACTTGACCGAGTTAATAATTCTCAGTGTCTAGGTTAGTCCACCTGTTAAACTTCTTTATAGATGTTTGGTTCAACTTTCCATCTTAAAATCTTTCCTACCTTACTTTGTAGTATAGGGGTTTTGATTAATTCACGTATCATTTTAAATATCACTGATTCACCTTCTAAACCCTACCAAATTAGTTTGAAGAGATTTTTAAAGCCTTTCAAAACCATCTCCCTGATAAATCCATTTGGATCCTTCGCTCTCCATCACCCAAATGAATTATTTACATATTGGGTATTTTGATTTTGCGATTAATTGTGTATCTTTGTGCTCGATTATGACATGGTTTCTCTGTGCTCTTTTTTGGTTGATGGCATGGGGAGGGTGTTGTGATGTCGATGGATTGGAGGATGGTTGTGCTATGATGTTGATTTTACGGTTTTTCTTGCTATGTGAAAATTATGGTTATGTGATTTTAGTGATAAGTGCAATTTTTTTTGGAAATGATGGGGAAATTGGAGGATGACTTGATTTCTTTGTAATGTGGTTTTTTGGCATAGGAAAGTTATGGTGTTTTTCGATGTGTGTTGTTGGTATGCTATGACTTTGGTGGTATTTGGTTGAAGGAGGAGTGGTTTGGTGTGCTACTGATGTTGGTGGCTAGTGGTGTAAAGATGGTGGTGTGTGGTTTGGAAGAGGTGGTGTGGTATGTGATTTAAAAACAAAAATTTCTCTACCATTTATCATTCAAAATTGTAAGATTTAGACACATACCACTCAATTCTTATATGCTTACATATCTGTCATTTACATTTTTAAGTTTTACAAACACATCCATAAAAAGATATATTTCATTAAAAGGTTTAAGTCATATAAATATTAAAAATTATATTGTGTTAGATGTGTAAATTCATTGAAATTGGTTGGTAAGCGTGTAAACGCCTCTTCCAAAAATTTTCCGGATGTGTGACCGGTAGTTTCCGGTCAGCAGTTCCCGGAGGTTCTCCTCTCGGTTAACGCCGTCGCCTGTCACTATAATCGCGTGCTACATCTCCCCTGCCTTTCTCCATCCCACTCTCACTCTCTATAGAAAAATTGAGTGAGAGAGAGGGAGAACAGAGTTGGGATTTGTTCCCAGTTCGTTTTCTCTTCGCCGGATCCATCTCCCGGCGAGCAAAGCGATACCAGAAGTTAAAATGGGTAAGCCGTGCGGGCGCGATTGGATGCAGATCTACTCGATCTACGGCACCGATGAATGGCAGACAGTAGCGTTCCTCATCTTCCACTCCGTACTCTTCGGCCTTCTCTCCTTCCTACTCCTCATCTACTTCACTCCATTTCTCATCGCACTCCACTCCCTCCTTCCTTCCCTCCCCCTCCCTCTCCTCCGCTTTGCCGCCGGTTTCTCAGGCTGCTTTCTCGCCCTCTCCTCCCTCTGCCTCCTCTTCGCGGCCGCCAACATCCTTTACTCCTCCCTGCCTCTCCGCTGGCTCATGGCCCAACGCATGCTCGCTGCCGTCCCCAACTGGTTCGCCGTCCGAACAGTCCTGGATCTCGGCTGCGGCCGCGGCATCCTCCTAAACGCCGTCGCTCTGCAACTCAAGAAGGAAGGAAGCTCTGGCCGCGTCGTCGGTCTAGATCGCAATCGAGACACTGCGGTTTCCGCCCTCCGCCGCGCTGGCTCGGAGGGCGTTCAAGAATACGTGACTTGCAGAGAGGGAGATGCGCATCGCCTTCCTTTTCCCGATGGGTATTTTGATGTCGTGGTCTCCGCCGTGTACCTCGGACGACAGGGTGAGTCGGCGGTGGAGAGAGGGAGGGGAATCGGGGAGGTGGTTAGGGTTTTGAAGCCCGGAGGAATGGGTGTGTTATGGGATTTGTCTCGCGTGCCAGAATTCGTACAGAGGCTGAAGGAGATGAGGATGGAGGATGTTTGGGTTTCGGAGAGGGTAACTGCTTATATGGCGAGCAGCCATATCGTGTCATTTCGGAAGCCAATTGCAGTCTCCATGGAAGATTGGAGGGCTAACATCTGCTAAAGCAATTATGGCCGTGAGTGGTATGTAACTATTTGTTACTGTCGTTCTACTTTTTTCGGCATTAATTTCTTGTCTGATTAATCCTATAGTCTGTTCCCCTGCTATCCAGAAGTGTGAATTACTTGTATGAGGGTGATAGTGGGTTAGGTCTATATAGAACAGAAATCAAAGGCCCTCTCGAAGAGAGGTGGCTCTTAAATTAACTCATTATTTATAGTTTTTTTGAGATTCATTAAGAAATTATACCTACCTTGTTTTCTTATGATAAGCTATTTTATGTTAATTTCTTCATGTCTTTGAGTACTGATATTTGCTGAAGAAGTTGATGTTCTTCAACTGTAGTAGTATAGGCTCTTTGAAAAATGGAAGCTTTGTTTCAGCTTAAATTTGTGTTTATTTATGTGTGGAAATGCTGTGGAGGATATTTATATTTGTGTTTGCTCTAGACATATTGAGTTCAAGCACAGATATTCCATTTCCTGCTGGAAAAGACGTGATATTATGGAATAGAATGCATTTTTTTTTTGTGTGAAAAGATTTTCTTAAATAATATACTTGGACTAAAAGTTAAAGATGTTAGCTTGAAGCATATATGAATCCTAATCACATATGTTTTTGAGCATTTGGTATCTTCACTCTCATATTTAGCTCCGCATGAAACTGAAGAATTTCACATAGAAACTGAAGGTTTTTGCTGGATTCAAAATTGTTTGTTGAAGAATAGTAACTTCATATGAAATAAGTAAGTGTGTCCAAGATGTGAGAGAAGGATAAATTAAATCTCACAATATGTCTTAGAGAATTGTTGTACAAAGAACTTGGGTGAACACCATTCATCAAACAATGGAGAGTTAGATTGAGCTAAAGGAACATAATTCAAAGAAATGAGTAATTTTTCATACTTGCATTCGAAATCTTGCCCTTTATTTATTTGGATGTCAATCAGTGTTGGTGCAATAAGGTTGATTACATCGTATAATTATCTAATTTTCTAAAAATGAATAAGTTGAGCCCCCTATAGCTGTCTATAACTCAATATAGTGGCCAGTAAAGCTTGACTTTCAACCTAGAAAATAAAACCATGAATTTAGTTCTCTTGTCATCTTGCCCATGATTAATACATAGTCCCTCGCAAGTTTTTCTAAGTTTCTTATGGACTAATTAAAGTGACTAAGGACTAAAAATTAGTTCAAGTTTAAGAGGTTAAAGCATCAAAGAAGTTTTTTTTAATTTTAGGTACACTAAGGGTGGGGCTAAATTGGATGTGTACTTAATTTTTTGAATTTAAAATCCCATATAATGATCACAAGTGAACATATAATGTGAATTTATTTGCAAATTCATGCACACTGTATATACTAGGACTTGAACTCAATATATTTTAGTTGAAAGTCCATGCTCTCAACCAACAAGCTAGGTTGACTTGCACAGTGATACTATAAAGTGTAAATAAGTTAATTTGTTATTAATCATGCTGACGGTGTGCATTATTTGGTCAAAACCACCAAAAGTTCGAACCGAAGCGGGATCATTTAGCTGATTGGGTTCAATTTTAAAAGAAGAATTAAAAAACAATTATTATTCGATTTCTGGTTTTTGGTTTAATTTTAATATCCATTAAATAAAAGACACCAAAAAATTTGATGATAGTAAGATTAGAAAATTAAATTTATTTGAAAAAAAAACCGAGCATATGACATGACATGTTTATTTTAGGTTGGTTTGAATTTTTTAATTTAAGGAGATTGTGAGGTGAGAAGAGGAAATGAAAATTTTTAATTATTTTAGATCTGTTCCAAACTAAATTAATTAAATCGATTTATATTTCGGTTTGATTTGGGACGGTTTTAGCAAAACTTTTGTGGGTTTGATTTTTTGGAGTTCGGAATTCAATTCCATTTATGTGATTTAGTTATGAATTGATTCATCCAAATCAGAGAGTTATTACTTGACCATTTCACAATCTCAATAGATCCTCTGCCTTTGATGTATTTCCTTCTAAGTGGATGTGCTTCATTTCCAACGATATAACGATTTTATTGCATGAGCTTTAAATAAGAAAACAATAATAGCAAGAAAACGCAATGCTTTAGATTCATGGAATTGAGATAATCTCTCTCTCTCTCTCTCTCTCTCTCTCTCTCTCCCCTTCTCTTTCTCTCTCTCTCTCTATATATATAATTTATTTTAATATATGTCCCTTAATAGCAAAAATTGAAGATTGCTGATGTTATTCGTCCAATTTATATATGATTGAATACAATGTGCACACTTCTATGCTAAGCATAAATGTTGGTAGACATAACTTAAATCCCAAATATTGACAAATATCTGATTATTTGTCAGGAATTTGATCGAATAACGATAGAACAATTGTTAAAAAATGATCAAACATATATCAATCCGGGTCAAAGATGAATTAAAGGTGATACGATCGTTATTCGATTGACATTCATGATGCACTGGCCTCAATGTTCAACTATTATTTGAAGGTTCTTCCAAAATTATCTGATCATTATTTAAAAATGATTTAGTCATTATGCAAAACTTGTTTAATCATTAAATAAAGATCCTTTAAACAATGTGTGGTGTTTGTTGGATCATTGTTCCATCCTTCTTTAGTTAATGATTCAATCATTGTAAAAAAATATATATTCAATCTTCATTCAAATATGGTTATATCTTTATTTCATCATTGCTTGAAGAAGATTTAAAGATTGTTTGATATGTATTCAGTTAATAATAGTGATATTTATAATGTGATATGAAAATTTTGTGGGTATAAAAGTAAAAGATAAATTTGTAAACACATAGGATTGGGGTAAGCATCGGAATAGTGATACTTTGCATGAGGCAAATCAATAGTGCACAAATTTGATGAATATCAAATGCGCAACTCATCAAAGCTATTTTGTCCAATACAAATTGATTTGATAAAAATATGGGAGTATGCTGGTGTCTAGGGTCCCACTGTCATACAGCCGCGATGTGCGGCGCACGCAATAGTTAGACAGTGTCTAGAGAATACAAAGTGGACTTTAATTGCATTATGTTTCGTATAATATTTTCTTTTCAAACAATAATAAACATGTCATGTTTATAACATCTTTGAGAAAAATGCTGCTTGCGAAGGAGTGTGCCCCAATTCAATCAACGTTATGAATGTCTCTCGTGCAATATAGCTGAAATCTTAGGGATTGCGGACTACGATAAATTATTGTGGCTATGGGATCCTAATTTTCTTTACATACATTGCTTCATCTATAGTGAAAACCACCTATTCTAAAGTAGCATAAATTCAAATCTAATAAAATGCTACATATAAGTTTAATAGTCGAATTTTGACTCTTGATCAAGCATAATAAATTTAATATGTTGATTTTACTATGTTTGAAACTTATCACCAAAGAAAAAAATGAGCATATTCCACTAAAATTTTCTAAGATTATACTCCCATCCATTGTAAGAATGCAATTCAAAACCTAATGATTGTCGCATTTATAAAATATTATGTCTTGCATTTAATAAGCTTGATAGAATTATAAGATATGATACAAACTTGATGTAGTATAGCTTAAGATTTTCTTATATTGACTAGCACGAAGTGATGTATGTACATCATTCCAAATAAAACCAACAACTTACTTCTTGTTAAATACAAACAAGAAGAAACGATTGAATCCAAATGACAGTATGGGTAATCAAATATATATATATATGAAGAAAGTAGCCAGAATTTGTGCCACGCAAAATTAACAAGCAAATGTGGCTTAACAACTATAATGAGATATTTACAGACCAGCCATCAAAAGTATTGAATATAACATTTTGCCCACCCAAATTTTAAATATAACATTTTAACCACAAAAAAATTTCACTCAAAAGACTTCACTAGTGGGAAAAAGTGGGTGGTTGAAATGTTATATTTAAGTTTGGACGGTTAAAATGTTATATTCAATACCCCTAAATTTTTTAATTGTGTCAAATTTGAACAAAATTAAGAATACTTAAAACCCGAGAACAAATACAAAGAGGACATTAGATGAAAACAAAATGAGTACTAGAGTAGAAATTCACACCTCACATTATCATAATTCATAAGAGGATGAATTCCTCAGAAATAGGCTATTGCACTAAAAAAATCACAAATGCATTTAAAATTGAAAGCAAAAAACCTATATTTAATCGAGAAAAATATCTCAAACCATGGTGGTTACGATTGGGGGTTACGATCGTGGTTACGATTGGCTCTAGTTTAGCGAAATTTAACTCCAAATAATAATAAAAGAAATTCAACATGGTTTCATCCAAAACTAAAATCTAAGGAATAGAAACAGAAGCCTGACAAAAATCTGAATTTGCAAAAGATAATCAGGTGGACATTTGCGCAAAACCCCGCAAGTAGTGGCGCCCAACTAGCCCTCAATTAAGAACCTTTGAATGGAAAAAAAAAATGATAGCTGAATAATGATAAATAACGGCTAAAACAACTGAATTTGTTACATTTTCATGGGCAGAATAAACATTGCAGAAAACTAAAAGATGAAATTGCAGCTGAATGAGACCTATGACAAATGCCGGCACATGTTTCTCCATTTATCCTTCAAATCAATCTGTTCCAATACAAAAACAAAAAAAATAAAATAAAATAAAATAAGACAAAATAAAATAAGATAAAACAATTGTGTAAAAGTAGCTCATGCATCTAGTGCCGAAAAAGAGAAAAAAGAAGGTTGTTCAACATCCTACCTCCGTTCTCTCTTGAAATATTTCAGAATAACGGTTCAGAATTAATTTCCAGTTTCCTTTGCCATACCTTTGTTCACAAAAGAAGAGAGAAATTTCATAAATAAAACCATAAAGAATAGCACAGCATCTCAACTTGCTCAGTGAAGAGCAAATGAAGCAGAAAGAGGAAAAAATGTGAAATCAACAAAGAGCCTTGTCATTTTCAGATAAATACAGAAAGAACAATCGTGTAAAATTATCAATTTTGGTATCAGCTTGATACATACTTTGCTACAGCCTCCCTCAATGTCTGTTCTTCTTGTGGAGTCCATCTCTTAACAGCTCTCCTTCTGACAAACTTTCCTCTATCAAAGCCAGTTCTCCTCGACATTGGACTGGACAAATGAGCTTTTTCTTTACGAGATGATGACTCCAGGGAATCATCGGTCCACTGAATAAATGAAACATAAGAATAATTGCATTCAAAAGTTGCTGCAAAAAGTATTAGTTCTGTAAGGCTTGCAAATTCAAGAATTATGCCAAAAGATAATTTAAGGGCATCATGCATAATAACACTTTTTGGATGTCAAATTAAACAAGCTGATTAATATATATATATATATATATATTATATATATATATTAAAATTGAGGAACAAGGAAATATTTGGAATATATGGGGCTTTAAATGCCTTCAAGTGTAATTAAAAAAACAGCTTATCCAATATTATAAAGCTGAAATGCTACTCAAGTGACTAGGATTATAAAGGAGTAAAGTGTCAAAATAGTCTCCTGACTAAATCAATGGGAACATTTTAGCCCCAGAGTATAAAATTGTCAAATTAAACCGCAAACTCTTTAAATTAAGGCTGAAATAACCCATCGTGGAGACTATTTCAGCTCATATTAAAAGAGTATGTAGACTAAATTGACACTTTTTTGACTCGGGATTGAAATGGTCCCACTACAAAGACTCAAAGGATTGTATTGACACTTTTCTCGGTTATAAATACTGAACGTTTTGCAAATGAGAGTAAGGATAAATGAAGAAAAATAAAGTCAAATAGAATGAGGATTTTAAAGCAGATCCAAGAGATATTATTATTATTATTTTTATTAAGGAAAGCTAAGGAAATCCTATGAAAAAGATCAAATATCCAATAGACTTTCAGGTCTTTTTAGCAGCAGCTAAAGAACATATAATTAAATTGATCATATGGCAATTAAAAAGGGTTGAATCAAATGGCAAAGCAGAACAACAATTTTATGATGAATGGTTCGTAAAACATAATATCATTGTCAGCTATCATTGTTCGTAAAACAATTTTATGATGAATGGTTCGTAAAACAATATTTGAGGCCGAACATAACTATCCCTCTACATATTTTCTTTCAGAAGGTATGTTGTGTCAGCTCTAGCTTTTGCAGATCCTTTTTATAATACCTAGTCAAATACCCTACGGTATATCCCATTTCTTCGTAATTCTATCATATTAATTTCATCTCCCACCCTTTTACTGCATTTTCTAGTTCCATTAACTCCTAATTTATGGGAAAAAAAAACAGAAGAATTAATTCAATATTTTGTCCATTTAAAATAGAATTTAGAAAAAATGAGAACAGAGAGAAGTAGTTGCAAATACTACATTAATCGAGAGCAACTATACAATGGTAAAATAGAATAATACTCTTCCTTACCTCAATTACACAAATAGCCAACTAATATAGGTGGAGAAATAAACCTATACATAACCTTTTCTGACACTTGTACAGGTGATGTGGTCAGTAACCCCCCGGCAAGGTGAGGGGTCTTTGAAGAACCTTCAGCTTGAGTCGAATTGACTGGAATTGGCGTTTGGGTAGAATCTTGGTAAGTATATCTGTTGTTTAGTCCTTGGACTAGATGTGCTTAAGAGTGATAGTGTTGCTGTTGATATGATCCCTTAGAAAATAATGATCTATCTCAATATGTTTGGTCCTCGCATGAAAAATTGGGTTCTTGGCTAATGAGATCGCTAATACATTGTCACAATAAAAAGGAGTAGGTTCTAATGTAAGAACGCTGAATTCTTCTATGAGACAACTTACCCAAATGATATTAGTGGTAGTGGTGGCTAAGGCACAATATTCAACTTCACATGAGGCACAAGCAATCGTTGATTGTTTCTTTAAGGTCCAGGAGATAGGAGTATCTTCTTTCTTTCGAGGAGAAAGGAGTATATCCGAGAAATAAGCACACTCCTATTATGGATTTCCTATATGCCTGTTCTCCGACCTAATTCGCATCACCATAGACAAGTAGTTGCAAGTTTCCCGGACTTAGTTGTAAGCCAAAATGAATTGTGTTCTTGAGATATCGAAGAAGATGCGTGAGATATACATAATGAGCCTCAGTAGGCATATGCATGTGTTGGCACAGGTGATTCACCGCATAGGCTATGTCTGGTTTGGTTACGGTCAGGTATTGGAGTGAGCACGTGAGTTGATGATATAGCTTAGTATTGTGAAACAGGGGGCTGTTTGCAGCATATTTGGTTCGGTTTGGGCAAAGGAGTTTGAATCGAGTGGCAATCCTGCATTCTAGCATTGTAGAGAATTTGTGTTGCATACCTTTGTTGGCTTAGAAAGTAGGTGCAGTCCTCCCTATGAGTTTCAATGCCGAGAAATAGCTCATTGGGCCAAGGTGCTTGAGCTGAAACTGAGTTACGAGATCTGTATGTAGCTGAGAAATTTGTTGGGAGTTGTTGCCAGTGATGAGGATATCATCCACACATATAGGAACAAAGACACGATCGTTGGTTTGAGCCTAAATAAGGCTGACAACGTGGAAAATCATTGACATGTAGTTTGTTTTAGACCATAAAGAGATTTCATCAATAAGCAAAAATGATGTGGAAACTGAGAATCATGAAATCTCAGTGGTTCTCATATAAACGGTTTTGTTTAGTGTGCCATTGAGGAAGGCATCCGAGATATCAATTTGAAGCACCGGCCAATTTTGATGAAGAGCTATAGTCAGAAGGATGCAAATTGTGGGCATTTTAGCTATAGGGCAAAATGTCTCCAAATAAATGATGTCATATTCTTTTCGGTTGCATTGGGCTATAAGGCGAGCCTTATATTTAGTTACTTCCACCTTGGAGTTTACTTTGGTAGTATAAGTCCATCGTGATCCAAGAATGACTTGATTGGGTGGTTTAGGAACTAGAATCCATATGTGTTTGCGCTGAAGAGCTTCGAATTCTGCAGCAATGGCTTGCCGCCAATTAAAATCCTTGGACGCTTGAGTGTATGAGGTAAAATCGAGAGGATGGTCAAGTTGGTGGCTGAGATTTTATTTGTGTATCGGTTTGAGGTGGCCTATTTGTAACCTGGTGCGCATAGGGTGAAGCTTCGGTTTATTTGTTGGAGGTGTTGACTGTGTTGAGTCTGAGGGAATGGGTGGAGTATTGAGAGGAAGATTGGTGGCATTGGAATTTTGTGAAGGAAGGGGACTAGCAATGTCTGAGGTGCTGTTGGAGTTAGATGGAGATAGGTTTTGTGATGGAGTGAGGTATACAGTGCGTCGGAGAAGAAAGGGTGGTATGGTTGAGAATGAAGGCTGTGTTGTTTTGGGAGTTGAAAAAGATTTGTCTTTATATGGAAAGTGATGTTCCACAAACACCATGTGGCGAGAGATGATGACTTTGTTTGTAGGAGGATGGAAGCATTTGTAGCCCTTTATTGTATGGAGTAATGACGAAAAACACATTGAATTGATGTTGGTTCAAGTTTATGGGTTGTTTGTAGTCTTGTCCACGGGTAGCAAGCGCAACCAAACACCTTGAGATGAGTGTATGATGGTGGGAATTTATGTAGGTGTTCATATGTTGAGATGCAGTGTATGGTTTTTGTGTGCATTCGGTTAATGAGATAGTGGTTTGTAGTGCATCAATCCAGAATTTATGTGGAAGTTGAGCTTGATGGAGAAGCGCACGAGTTGTTTCGATAACGAGTCTATGTTTCCATTCAACGATGTCATTTTGCTCGGGTGTATATGGGCATGAAAATTGATGACAGATGCAAAGTTTGATGAGAAACATATTTAATTGATTGTTGTTGTATTCTCGTTCGTCATCGGAGCGAAATTTTTTTATTTTGTTATTAAATTAGTGTTGGAGAAGAGTGATAAAATTTTGGGTTATTTGGGATGTTTCCGATTTGTGACACATAGGGAACACCCAACAAAATTTCAAGAAATTATGAACAAAAGCTATATAATATTTATATCCTTGATAAGAAGTATTTGGGAATGGATCCCATACATCACTATCAATGAGTTCAAGTAATTTGTATTTATCTCCTATACTACATACAAAGGATAATTTGTGACTCCTGGTAAGGTGGCATGTTGGGCAAGATATGGAGCTGGATGGAGTGAGAGTGGACTTGCGGTTGAAAATGTTTGCGATGATTTCCGTATGCGGATGCCCCAAACGTCAATGCCGCAACTCAACTTGCTGAAATTTAGAAAGGGAAGTAGTAAATGCTTATGGTATATAGGTAGATGATGAAGTGGAGTAGAGACTATTGTTATTTGGACTGTGGAGGAGCTTCTGGAGAGCCTGTGGGTCATAAATGACAAATCCATAAGGGTCAAAAGAAATAGCAAATTTGTCTTTAATTAGATGATGAATACATATAAGGTTAGGAGCAAGTTATAGAGTATGATGAATTTGTGAGAGTTTGAGCTTACGTTGAAGACTTGGATTTGTACACTTGGATTGTTTCCGACCAACACTTGTTCATTTCCGGTGTATGAAACTGCTTGAGGAATCTAATTAAGATCAGTTGTGAAGTGAGTCGTAGCCCCTGAATCTAATACCCAAACCGTGGAGACTGCATTGAGAGCACGATTTGTATTTATTGAGGTATAATTGAGGTTTTTCCTATGCCAACAAGAAAAGGCTGATTGCCCAATTTTATAGCAGATTTGGGACTTGGATTTGTACACTTGGATTGTTTCCGACCAACACTTGTTCATTTCCGGTGTATGAAACTGCTTGAGGAATCTAATTAAGATCAGTTGTGAAGCGAGTCGTAGCCCCTGAATCTAATACCCAAACCGTGGAGACTGCATTGAGACCCCCCCCCCCCCCCGCTCTGCCAGAAAAGCCTTTGAGTTGATTGCTGGTGTTTGCCTCTGCCTCTTGAGGTTGGATATTATCGTTGTTGATGTTGATTTCTTCAGTGCACAGTAAGGCATAAAGATAATCAAGAGCTATCGGATGAAGAGAGGTTTGGATAGCTCTCTTGAACGCATTGTAAGCAGGCGGCAATCCATTAACCGGTAGATGTTATGTGATCAACCAGAGAGCGAATCTCCATTAGGTATTGTGACAATAGACGATCCTTCATCGAGATGTTATGGAGTTTGTTTTTCAGCTGAATAACCCGTGAACGGTTTGTTGGT